TTTGGCAGGCCCGGGCTGGATTCGACCCCGCCACCTTAGGCATATGTGGCTGGCGCCTTACCTACTTGAGCCACAGGCGCTGAGCCCAGTCTGTGGATTCTTAAAAATCTCCAGCAACACCCTAAACAGCCCTTTAACCAACAGAACCTTTGAATGGATCAGAAGCCTTCCCCAGCCCTCCCCCCCCCCCCAGGTCTCCATAGTCTCAGTTCCCATGTTATGTTTGACCCCAAGCCTGTAGGAGTTGGCTTGGGTGGTCATCATTCCTAAGACCTGTGCCTGGATGGGGTTAATCAGAGGTAAGCAGGTGTTAATGGCATCTTGTTTGCTAAACAAATAAGGTCTGTGCCCAAGAAGCTTACCTTGGAGTAGCTCCCAAGTCTCTGGCAGTGGAATAGACAGTGCTGGGAAGAGGGGGAGGTGGGTTGGACACAGGCACAAGGGCACAGCCTATATTTAGTCACAGAAAGGGGAAAAATTGTTGTTTTGTTTTTTGAGACAGAGCCTCAAGCTGTCACCCTGGGTAGAGTGCTGTGGCATCACAGCTCATAGCAACCTCCAACTCTTGGGCTTAAGTGATTCTCCTGCCTCTGCCTCCCAAGTAGCTGGGACTACAAAGCGCCCACCACAATTCCTGGCTATTTTTTGGTTGCAGCTGTCATTGTTTGGCGGCCCGGGCTGAATTCGAACCCACCAACTCAGGTGTATATGGCTGGGGCCTTAGCCATTGAGCCATGGCTAAGGCCCCATTTTTTTTTAATTTTTGTTTAATTTTTTTTGAAATAGAGTCCAGCCTCAAACCACAGGGTCTCAAGCCTTTAATCCTAGCATTTTGGAAAGCCAAGGTGAGAGGCTTGCTTGAGGCAAGGAGTTTGAGGTTGCAATGAGCTATAAGGACAGTACCCCACTCTAGACTAGGCAACTAAGGGAGACCCTGTCTCAAAACAAACAAACAAACAGGCTCAGTGCCTGTGGCTCCAGCAGCTAAGGCACCAGCCACATATACCTGAGCTGGTAGGTTTGAATCCAGCCTAGGCCTCCAAAGAACAATGACGGCTGCAACCAAAAAGTAGCCAGGTATTGTGGCAGGTGCCTGTAATCCTAGCTACTTGGGAGGCGAAGGCAGGAGAATCGCTTGAACCCAGGAGTTGGAGGTTGCTGTGAGCTGTGATGCAACGCCATTCTACCCAGGGTGACAGCTTTAGGCTCTATCTCAACAAACAAACAAACAAACAAAAACCCTCCTGGGCTTAAGTGATCCTCCTGCCTCAGCCTTCTGAATAGATGGAACTACAGGTGCATGTCACCATGCCCAGCCAGTTTTACCACTTTTTGTAGGGACAGGGGTCTTGCTCTGTTGCTCAGGCTGATCTCAAAACTCTGGGCCTCAAACTGTCCTCCTATCTTGGCCTCCCAAAGTGCTGGGACTCCAGGCATGAGCCACTGCACTCAGCCACTTCGTGGTATAATCGTTGATCTCAGGACGTCCTGGGGCAGAAACTCACTTTTTCTGGATTTTCCCACTTATCCTCGTATAGACCGTCTCTCATTTATGATAGTTTGACTTACGACTTTTTGACTTTATGATGCTGTGATAGCAATATGCATTCAGTAAAAAACATACTTTGCATTTTAGATTTTGATCTGTTTCCAGGCCAGTGATATGCAGGGCACACTCACGAGAGGCTGGGCTGTGGGGTGAGCTGCAGCTCCCAGTCAGCCACTTGATCATGAGGGTAAACAACCCATGAGCAGGCGTCCTCAACCGACGGCCTGCGGGCCACGTGCGGCCTGCCGA